CACCTATTTGTAAGCTAGTATTCTAAAATAATAATTATTATTTAATATTTATTCTGAAAATATGTATTTGTTACAGACAGAACTCTTAATAAAAGTATTTTTAATGGTCAAAATCTGTCAAAAGTCGCTTTGACCTCCCTTTGTCCGCAACATCATACTGTTATAACCTCATCTAACCCAAATGATTCAATAAAATTCTGCCGTTCCAATCTAAAACACTGTAACTTTTGAAAACGATTTTGACTTTGAAAGCTTTGTTACAGTTTTTTTACCATGTTAAACCCCTAATTTCAATACAATAAAGTATTTTTTAGATTATTGTCTCTTCTAAAATACACTTTAGAATAACAAAAGTGTTGATCTTAGCCGACGTAAAGAAACTGATTGAGCGTTGTTAAGGCAAAACACTGCTGTAAGTCGAGTTACAGTTGGATTGGCACGGCAGAAATGTTGATGGTATCTGACGCAGCGGTTAAAAGTAGTATTGCCCAATGCCTGTTTAAATACTTTTGACCGGTTAAGAATTCTGACTGTAACAATATAAATAGTAATAAAAATAATGCATGTAAACAAAATAATAAAGCCTCACTGACATGGAATAATTGTGTAATACATATTTTAGGAGAATTGACTTCTATTTCATAAAGAGTATGTAATACAAGTCATCTATGAAGAGTATGTAATATATTTAATACATATATTATATCTCGAAAATAAACTTATTTAAGCTTTATTCATTTAAGTTGTCCGTTTGGTGACGCATTAAGAATATCGAGTGTCAAAACCCCTATTCATCCCGTTTTGGTGTCGTAAGAGCCCACTCAGGGAGCAGAGACTACGCAGAACAACAGCACTGCAAGGGGAAGGAAAACTTGAAATAACCCTATACATGCCTGTCTGGCCAGCGTTGTATAGTACTCTAAAACCTTCTTTCTAACGAAAGGCCTATGTCCATCAGGGGACAGTTATAGAGTGTTGATTGATATCAAAGATACCGATCCAGTGAGAAAGCCGTAAGGACTCCTTTTAGAAATTCGCTAATGTATTACTTTATGCTGATGTTCTTGTCATGTAAATTCTAATATCGTTTGACCAAAACCTCTCTAAAGAGAGGCCTATGTCCAGCAGAGGACTACTAAAGGCTGTTGATCTGATGATGATGTGAAGTTTTATTATTGCTGAGTATCTGTCGAGTGATTTCGTGAAAAGGGACGGCAATGTGTACCAGTAGAGTTAGCGTCAGATGGTCAAGATATCATTTGCAGGTCTATTCAATTTATTTATTGTTACACAAAAATTCATCTACGTAAGATTACGTAAATGAATTTTTCTGTAAACTATTGTAAAAATAATGTTGGATTCAATTGAAGCAAACTACCATCAAACTACTTACTTATCTCCTTCAACATTTATTTCTTGATCCCGAGTGCATGCATATGCAAAAATACGAAAAAATAATATGTGCGTATCATTATAAACATTTTTTCCTTTACGAAGAATAGAACAACGAATTGTTTGAAGAGTGTTCCTAGCTATGATTCAAGAAAAATTTATTTACCCTCGCAAAGATCATAGTTCTTTTATGAGAGCTTTTAGTGTGGAGTCTTTTAATTTTTTCATTTATATTTGTTCTATTACTTTTAAATTAGCGACTAGTTTATTGTACAATATATTTCCCTATTTAAATACTGTATTTTATGTTGCGGTAAGCAATTTGACTAACAATTTTCAATTTATCAAAAGTTACTAACTAGTGTATTTTATTTTTATTATACTTCTTTAAAGGAATTTGCCGACTTCTTCGTCTTAGACTTGATGTAGTACAGTTTTAGTTTTAACAAGACGGCTCTTCCTTGATGTCACAAAGGCGCGGAAACCCATTAATTTATCGCAGAAAATATTCGATGAGTGCGTAATCTGGCGTAACGTAACGTAACGTTTATATTCACGCAGTTTTACATAAACTTTAATAAAAGTCTCGCAGCATTAATAATCGCATAACAATGTGTGTTAAGTTTAGTAATCATGAAAATTATCTGCGCCACATAAGATATTACAAGACCTATTCCTTACTGGTTAGTAATATTTTTGCCTAAAATCAGCAAATTATAGTAGCAGACAAAGAAGATCATTATAGGAACTACGAGTATGTTGGTTAAGTCAAGTCTCTCGTAGACGAACATTATTTGTGTCTCTTGCAATGTATGTACAAGGCTATGTGTATTTTGTATTTGTGAAACGTATGTTTGCAAAGGCTTAAATGTATGATAAAATAAAGAGATAAACTTGATGTGAGTATGTTCAGTATATTTTTCTTAGTAGTCTTATTAAGTAAACAAACATGTCAGAGATAATTGATACAGATGACTGAACTGAATAGTTTTTATAATGATTAAAAAGAATTAGGGATAAAAAGAAGATAGGTTTTGTTACAATCTGAGACGTTCAGTTTGCCATTATATAAAAATGTGGCAAAAAAAAAAAAAAAATTAAGCCGTTGCGCGTCGCAGGCAGAACCTCTGGCAGATGTGAAAAATCGAAATGATTTTGTAGGAATAATAAATACTTATAGAACAATTAAAAATATGGTCACATCGCCTTACATGTTACATTTATTATCACATAGTGTGCCGACACATGCCGTGGCGACGCGTCGTTACTACAACAGCCGGTCTAACCCTCCGATTGTGTCAATTTCACAACCTATCTGTGAAATTTGGTCAATTTAGGACCACTGTGCGATGGCGATTTAAGTTAGTGGATAGTCTAAAAACCCTTTCCTATTTTAATAAATTATCGAAAGAATATCTACGTTTATCTACAAGACGAAATTGTCTGACGAGGACATGGTTTAACAGTTTAACTCATGTCGATAGTCTGATGATCATTGTCCTCAGACGATAGCTACTAAACTATCATTTGATTAAAAATATTCAGCACACGATGTTACTCCAAGAAAAATAACGCGTTTAAATTAGTAATTATCAGTTTTACAGTTATTCATATATTGCACATTTCTCAAATAGTTGCAAAACATTAATTCCAAACTAAAAATGTGTAACTAACCGTAATGTCGTGATTTTTGTTACCGGTGGTATTTATTTACCCAATAAAGAAAAATTACAGTAGATATACATTTTTTCACTTCCTTATCTACATTTATAATCAGGGTCGTTGCAAAGGAGTAGGTCGGTCTGCACAAATATTAGATCAGTGTGAAAATAACCGTTTTAAAGCGTAAAATAACGGATTCCATTCGTTTTTTGAAGTAAAATTTCTTTACGCACGATTGACTTGGGGGGTAAGCTGGTGAATGCGTGACTAGAGCATTACGAAAAGTGTGAGGGAGATATAAGTTAGTGACGATAAAAAGAGAGAGTTTCGTTTTGTATGTAAGGGCAAGAGAGAGAGGTGTGCTCGCACATTTTCTTTTTCTCTTTCTCACATAGCCAAGAAGTTTCACTTCAATCGTGTGGTCTAAAGCACACTCGTTTTTTTATTATGGAATGATTCCTAGATACAATCCAAGGAAGTTATGTTTTGTTCAATTTCTTTTTGCTATATAGGGTTAACTCGTATTTCGAATGTATCTTGTGTCCGAGGAGTGCACAAACAGAACACTCCGACTGAAGACATTTATTGGATCGCACTAATTTTAATCCCGCGTGGGAATCGAATCCCTTACACTCAGCGCGGTAAGGATTAATTCTTAACTAAAAATTCGTAAACTTCTCACAGCACAGTTATTGCTATTTGTAACAAAAACATATTAAATTGAAAACTAAAGAATACAAAATTATCGACTTCATACTTTTTTGTTGTGCTTACTTTTTTTAATAAATTAATTTAGATAAAACAATAAAAACGAAAGCGAAAGTAGGTGACTAATAAATCTAGAGGCTACAATTTTTCTTACAATATAAAAGTTAATCAAAACGTGAACATGAAAATTAATTCAAATTCATATTTGAAATTAGAAAAAGTCTTTCTAAAGGTTTTCGAAATTACATTATCTCAGAAAGTAAATTGTGAAGGAACGTGACAAAAATACTGTTTTGACACACCAACATAAAAATGGCATTCTATTTAGAAACTACTGGAACAATAAACTTAAATGCAACAATAAAATTACATTCCTTGGAATGGACAAGCTACTTGAAAATTTAAAGACAGCACGTTCAAGGAGATCAAGAAAAGCAAAACACAAATATAGGAAAAATTCAAAACAGGTCATCATCATCTTTAAAAATCCACAAGTGGACGTAGGCCTGTCCTTGGAAAGGACGTTTTGGCTTACTATATCTGGCCTATCCTATCCTATACTGGCCAGACGGGTTGGTATAGGGTTTGTGTCAAGTTTTCCTTCTCTTTGCAGTGCTGTTGTCCTGCGTAGTTTGCTCCTTTACTCTTCACTTACGACGCCCACGGAATGAATAGGAATGCTGACACTTAATCCGTCACCGCACGGAAACTAACTATACTGACAGGTATCTATCAACCTACTATATAATATATTTTACTATCCAACTACACATCATGATATTATTTTATAAACTCTACAAGACAGAAACCAAAACTGGTTAGAAAAAGTTAATCAAGTCAATAAACAGAGTGTATTTTATAACACCATGTATAATTTTCCCCGCCCTTTTTCCTTTGTATTTTAGATACTCGCAATTAAGAATTAAACGGATCGGAGTCAAGTTGTTTCCATTAGCCATAAAGTGGCTATGACTTAAAAAAAATACTGTTTCAATTAATCAAACACTTATAATAAACATCCAATTGTACATGCAATTTTAAATTACCCTTAAATTAAATAGTAAAACAGGAGAGATATTTTAGATGCCATTCAATAATATGTTTGGTCATTAATTTTAAATTATGATTGTACTTACGTGATAGTCGCACTACATACGACCTAAAAATAGGACAATGTTCCAGTTAAAAGTACGCAACAATAAAAGGGAATATTTGATAAAATTTAAGTAAATAATCACCTTTTCCTTCATTGTTTGACGATTGAAAAGCACCATTACCAAATTATCCTTAAAACTGTTTCAAATTTTTGCATAATTATTTTCAAAATATAAAAGAATTACGTTTCTATCAAATCACTTTCATGCACTGAAATATTTGTTTATCCCACTCCTTCGTTTAACTTGTTGGTTTACAAACGTGTTATGATCACAGACAACAAACGTTTGCAGCGCTGTAATGGGCGGGAAAAATGACATTTCTTCTTGCGCCTTGACGAGCGTCCGCGACAACCGGGAAATGCTGACTGACTCAGTTACTAGACGATCGGTGTTTTAAATAATCACGCTTTGAAATTATTGTGATGCGGGTAACCATTGCCGTCGCATCGTTAGCATTGCAATTTCAAAAATACGTAAGCATAGACGATTTATATTTATTTTAAGAATTTGTGTATGCCTATTTTACGATTGACTTTAATAAGTTTACGGTCAATTTTGTGAGATTTCGTAAGAACTGTAATTATGTAGGTACTTACGTTTCTACACGGTTGTTAACAGAAAGATTAAAAATGATGAACCTGTCTTATTACAATAAACTTTAGCACAAATGCTAGGCATCGTATTTGAAATCATTAGTTACAAGTCCCCAAATACTACCTTATAATCAAAAACTCATGACCAGTACATAACTGCTACTACTTAATTCAGGGTTGTCCAAACCTATGGCCTGCGTCTTAAAATGTTTTTCATCTACCTTTAAATAAGAAATTTTAATTTTCGGAGATGAAACCTATGTATACATATATTTTGCAATCGATGATGGGCAGTACCTTTCTTTGTGAAAGTACATATGAAATTATGAAGTTATTAAAATTGAGATATTGGTTTTCATTGACAGACACATGCACTGCGGTTGGAAAAAACTAATATTGATGTTGATAGTGATAGAATTATAAAAGATAAAATAGTAAAAAGTCTAAAAAAAACAATGATGTATCTATATTTTTGTCTTTTCCAAAAAAAATTGCAGGCCTCCTATGTATTTTGTCAGTTTATTGGCCCCTTTTTTTTTCCGTGCGGAATTCCCCTCGGATACCACCTGTCGGTGGCATGTCGGACTCGAACCGACTAAAACCGCACGCCGTCTCGGGTACTAATAGCCGGGGAACCAGGTATACCCTAGAAAGGAAGTCCCTGGTGCCCCGACATATCTCGGGTCATCTACAGACGAGTAGACAACCCCCCCCGTTGTGGGAACCCCATGTTCCCTGTGCTCCCTGGAAGCGAGCGCGCTTCGCAACGCGCTCGCCGCCACCTCGGCCTGCTTCTGCTAGGGTGACAGATGGCCCCACCTGTCACCCCCAGGCCTGCGCTTATGGAGGACGGAGGTCGTTCTGCGACCTCCGGCGCCTGAGTCGCCTGCGGTACCTGGCCCGTTCCCGGGCCTGGCGGGCCGGGAGAGTCCTAAACCTCTCCTGGTCCCGCTCCGCCGTCTCCAGGAGACGGCAGAGTTCCACGCACTCTCGCTCCGCACGATAGCCGCAATCAGGCTATCGAGCGAGAGAACTCCCACTCCGATGGCCCCCACGAGGTCTCGCCTCTGCTCAACCCACGCCGGGCACTCTGCCAGCGTGTGGAGAACCGTGTCCACGGTCTGGCCATCGCAGTGGTGGCACTCAGGCGTTGGCTCCTTGCGGATCAGACACAGGTGATCCCCGAAACATCCCTTCCCAGTGATCACCTGCGTCAATCGGTATGAGAGGGTCCCGTGACGCCTCTCAAGCCAATCCTCCATAACGGGTCTTACCGCCGCGATGACGGCGTGCCCGGAGTTTATTGGCCCCTAGATCGTATCTAGTTTTGACAGCCCTGACTTAATAAATGAACTAAGTTTATGGTTACAGGTTTAGATTAAACTTATGATGTTGACCTGCGACACAAGATGAGCGAAAATGCAACACAACCCACACACAATTGCAAAATTTGAAAAATATTACGAAATTAAAATATGACGATATAATACACATAATGCTCTTTTCTATTCGATTAAATCATACAAGGAGATACATATCGTATAAGTTTATTTTGATTTGTTATTACCGCCTTACATCTACATTCTGATAAAAAATATTAAATCATAAGATATATGCGTAACTGCTAAGATATAACTTTTAGCATAATCAGAAGTATCTTCTTCAGAAAAGTAAAGTGGTTCTTTGGATGAGTCTCCAACCGAAAAAGAAAATAACCCGTATAAATACATGGGGTATCTGACTATGGGTATTAGTGATAAATACCACTTTGATTTTCATATTTGTATTTTCTAGTAAAAAAATAAAAATAAAGTAAAAAACTATAATACCGTTATATACCGTTGTAATTAGATAACCTCTTAATTGTATAATAAAAAAGAACCGTAAAGTCCACATCTTGTACTTTGGACCTATCCATAGTGAAACCAATTTTTGAGTGCAGTAAAACAAATACTTATTTTGACAGCAGCTCATGAATCCATACATTTATACTAATATTAAAAAGCTGAAAGTTTGTTTGTTCATTTGGTTGGTGGAACGCGCTAATCTCCAAAACTACTGGTTCAAATTGAAAATTAGTGATGGATAGTCCATTTATCGAGCAAGGCTAAATAACAGCAGTCATAATTATGTATTATATCTATGCGTATCTTATTATTTCGCATTTTCTTTAATGGCTAAACATAGACACAGTCTATCTTATGTCAATCGATTAAATCTTTTATTTTGACTAGATAAGATTTGTTTATTAGATTATATACTACTTGCAAAAGTTTTAAGTTTATACTCGCATGTCAAGCGATTGAAATGGTTTATATATTATTCACAAATAATATAGGCTCATTTAGCCGCTCAGTCTGAGATGAAGCTCCGAGAGAGATGAATTACACGAATTATAAATCTCCACCTAGACTGTCTGTAAGAAATTCATGTCTTAGTGTAATTGCTCAGTCTAATTTTTATGACCGAACTTACCTAATAATCAGTCTATAGTGAAGTGCGAAGATCTAAACCTACGCATTTAAATTTTAACGCGTTAAAATCAAGAAATTTTAACAAAACAACGGTTTCTGTTGAATTCATATATGTGTCATAGGAAATTTTAATGTTGTTGTTCCTCATTAACACTAGTATCTAATACTGGCACACTAACACATCGTTGGCTAGTTCTAAATTTAAATTTATAATAAAGCCGTTGATAATTTGTGTTAACCAAGTTTTATATCGAGAACTATCTAATTATGCTAAGTCTGTTTTTATTGATTACTACAAGGTTGCTTGTGAGGATTCATAAAGACAATTGGGAATTTTGGCTGTAAAACAAATAGACTACTAAATATTTTGAAGTAAATTATTTAAAAAAATGTCTTTTAGTGGTTATGGAAAGCTCAATGATTTAAATCAATGTACACATCGAAAATATAAAGAATACTAGATACTTGTTTTACCACCAAGCGATTGGTGCAAGTCGGTCGAAACGAAAAAGTATCTTATCTTATAGCTTATAAATTTTGTTGTGATTTAAACCCGACTTACACTTTTGTAAAGATTGTGACCCAGGTACTAGCCCTCTGTGGTACGGCGTTTTCGCAATGGGCTATAGTATAACAATGTGTATTAAAATAATATATTGTTATATATGTACTAATGTATTATATTATTACGGTAAGTACGAATTCATCTGGAAGTTATTTTACATGCAGCACATACCAACAGCTGTGTTCATAATTTAACATCTTGAACATTATCTACCTAACGATATGATTATTACATTATTCAGAATCGTAAACAAGTAATGTTCATTACGATGAAACTCTCATACTTTTGAAGGTACACTTCTTCTATTAATAACTCGTGTGTAGAATACAAATAATATTAAGGAAAGATAAAGTAGCTATAGATACAATTGGGTTTTTACATTATGTTAATTGTCTTGAATGATTTACTTTTAACGAACATAAAATATAACCCATTCTAGCAGTGATCAATTTTTTCAAGTTTATGGTGTGTTGTAAGTGACAGGTTGGTAGTACACTTGGCATTACCTATTGGTAATACCATTAGGTCTAAAAGTATATAGATATAATAAAACTGGAACATTTCAAATTCACTATCCAGTGCATTAAAAATTATTGAGATTTATTTTTAAGTGAAAATATATTGAAACCAAAACTGACTTTTATGTCTGTCTGTTGCCATCTTAGCCGCGTATCAAGCCGATACTACGATTGAAATAAAACTTGACATGATTTTAGTTAATAATACGAAGTAATTCAGTGACATTTGGAACTAATTTTTACTAGTTTTCTTACAAAGATATAAGTGAAGAATGCTAGTGCTGATTTTTGTCGGAAATTCGGTAAAAAAGGATCGGAAGAAAATTCGGTAAAAATAGAAATATAAAAAATGGGCACCAGGAGCTAGATAGTGCACAATAATCACCTGCCCCGATTACAAGTCACACCATCACTCTGACAGGGACAAGTCCAAAACAACGGTTAACACTCCTTGCACCTTGCGGTAAAATTACAAGATTGCTTCAACAGCAACTCGATGTCTATAATGACCTCATAGACGAATGGCAACAACGCTGGGATGAATCATCCAAGGGGCGCCATCTTTACCAATTCTTTCCATCTGTTCGCGAACGGTTGTCGAGGATATGGCTTGAGGTGGATCACTGTGTCGCTCAATTTCTTACCGGTCATGGTAACTTTAAGAGCAAGCTTTATTCATTTAAATTAGTCGAGTCACCATTGTGTCAATGCTCAACACCTAACTCTCACTATGAACAGTCTGCTCATCATATCCTCTGGGAATGTAGTCTTTGGTATAATGAACGTAATATAATGCTGAATAGCTTGCAGGTGACATCTGGGGCGGTATACTATGGGGATCTTGTGTCAACTAGGGTGAATTTCCGTGCGTTTAGGCGATTCTGCCATACATATTATAGAAATCAAACATAGCTCACGTAGGACCCGTAATATTTGTGGCCGTGGTGCTTCCCTGTTTAAAAGGGTG